ATGGTTGTGTAAATGGTTTATAAATCCTATTAATTCACTATTGATATAAAATGACCAAACATAAATATATGGAAATGATGCACATGAATATAATAACAATACCAAGAAAAACAACAGTGTTTGTGGCATAGATCCGAATGCAACAACTTCAGCAAGCGGATCCGTTGAACTTGCTGCAATCTAATGATAATAAATTGAAATAACATGATTACAAGTCATATAAGATATATCTGTCTAATTTAGACACATTCTAAGATATTTACCTTAATAATTATTGTTAGTATAGAACAAATAATTAAACATAGAATAAAATCAAACATAACATTTGAAAACCAATAGATAAACTTGGGTAATTTACACATTAATTGTAATTGCTTCGAATGATTCATTCGTTCTTTAATTACAATTGATATAAGCAAACTCGTAAATATCATAGCTACTATTGTTGTTAAAAATCCGAATAATGATAAAGGAATTGTATCAAAACAGAATAGTTTAAGTAAGACATCAGCTGCTTTTGATGTAGATGCTGAATTTGTCGTTATAATCGGTTGATTTGTTGTTATTATTTGTTTTGATTGAGAATTGGAATAAAATTGATATAATTGTGTCATTGAAACGCCTAAACTAACAGCAGCTGTATGATAATTAACTGTGCTATAAAAAGCATCAAATGTTAACGATGTTGTTGTTACATTGTTGTATAATCCTTGTGCAATTTGATACTTGTGTATAAATATTGTTTCAGTTTGTCTATATTGTGATTGAATATAAGTTAAAATTGTATCTGTTGAAATTAAATCAACTGTAGCACTTTGATTCGTCAGATATCTTACGAGTGATGTTAGGGTACCAGTGTTATTATTATTTCCATAGGTAACAATTGTTTGTAGATTATAAATAGATGGTACTAATTGAACAGATGCACCTTTGACATGATCATTTTGTAATAGTGTGGAAAGAATTTGTGTCGGTGTAGGAATAGCAGCAACAATTAGTATTTGAAGTAATATTGGACACAAGAAAAATCCTAATGACACTCTTACCCAAGCAAAAAAAATGGAGTTAGAATCGGGCGGTTGGAGCTGGATAACACGGTTTTCGACCCGGTTAAGCTAGATCCACCT